TAACTTAAATTCAACGCAAATTGGTTTTAATAATTGTAGAAACCAAAGATACATTGCCTGTGATGGCTGTGAGCTAATAGGCACAAATCGGATAATCAACTTACGTAGTCCTCAGGGCGCAAAAGGTGGCAGCGTATTTTCAATGCGCCAGTGTCTTCCAAACGATTGCGGCTTTGTTGCAGTAAATTGCGCATTTCCTTTTCATCGTCAGAGTCATCACAACTGGATGAGGAAGTGGCCGGGATCACTTTGATGCATTTATCGACGTTGCGGGAAGAGCGACGACGGTCATCCACTTTACGACGACGAGTTGATGTGTCACTTTCCGATGTGCGACGCAAGGACTGCGCTGAATGACTCATGCCAAATTCCAATTTGCGACTGGCCGAGTCGCATTTCTGTTGCTGATTCAATTTCTCAATGCCACCTTTGGGAGTAACAACATTGGCGGCCGAAGCTGACAAGGACATGGAGGAACCGCGTGCGTTCTGTACCTCCGATGAGTCTTTAATGTGAATAATAATGATTAGCAATATATAATTAATGAACGAATTCTATGGGCAGAAGCTTTGTGCTTACCTTGGCATGATTTGCGACGAACCTCTAATGTTTTGCGTCTTCTTTCGTATTCCAAGTCAAGTGCACGGCGACGTCTGGCATGGTCTACACTGTTGGCGATTGTGTCTTGTGTAATAGTTTTCGTGTCCGTTTGTTGCAACGAGTCCATACGTGGCGGCGATAGTGAATCTACGTTGTTGGCAGCTGACAGCGAAGAACAGCAGTCTGACTGCGAATCGATGAAATTTCTAGCAGAGCAAAATTTATTTTTAGTTTATTTTCATATTTTTGGCCAATTGTAGGGACAGAATATATGCAGAAAGTTGTTGCTCGAAATTTTTGCCACCTAAAGTTCTTCACGATCATAATTGCACCATGCCAAGAAGGCTTTGAAGAGATCTACATCTATTTCGCGAGCGATATTTTGCTTTGCATTTGAAGATCCGAAAAACCTCTCGTTTGCAAGATACATTTACCTCGTGCAAGCTTTCACGAGGAGCCCTCATACTTTACTTACCGATAATCATCACCAAATTCCATAAGCCTTCTGGCTGCATCCGAATCAAACCCCTCAGAGTAGTTCTCCGAGTTATATTTCTCTTGATAGTTGTCCCAGGCCGTTTCCGAGAAACTGCTGTGGTGATCGTCAGTGCCGGTGGTGTAATCTGTATTGGAATATGAAATTCAAATTAATTGGGCTCTTTTTAAGTTTTGTTTTTGTTAGAAACAAACATATAGAACTCATATGTATATTAAAATAAATTAAAGCATACATACATATATGTGTGTGTATACATATTACCCATAGCCACTTGCATGTGGAAATCTACATTCTTAAATAAATATGTATAGGATATACATTAGGGCGGTAATTTTTTTATTTTATTTTATTTAATTTTTTGTTTGTTTTGTTTTACTATGCGCGAATAGCAAGGGAGAATTCTACGTGTAATTCTAAGCAAATTTGCCGAAGAGATAATGAGCCTTAAATCATTTTGGAGTTTGCCAAATTGCGAAAATAGGTTTGGAAGAAAACTTTCACTCTGCAACACTCTGGTGGAAATTTGAAGAAAAAGATAAATGCAGTAGCCCCTTATAGCATGTTTTTATACAAAATGTAAGCACTTTTTAACGACATTACAGCACAGTGTTACCGTTGTGCGACTAAAGTGTCAAATTGACACTTTTTGGAGATCGATGCCCCTTGACACTGACCTTTTAAAAATCTTACGTTTTAAAATGCTTTTAGTATTTACTTTTCAAAGGCATTTAAAAATTACACCTCTGGCCAGATTTGGACTGATTTCAATCTCTTTATTAAGTCAAATATTTTTCGAATATATGTCCAGAAATAGCATGAATTAATGCACCGTTTTTGTAGCTTAGCATTTCCCTTACTTTATTTGTGTTAAATTTATTATTTATTTAATGATGTAAGTATTTTTTAACTGCAATTTTGTTTTTTAAAAGCAAAATATGCATATTGCGTCTTTTTAATATATCCTTCATCAATAGGTTATTATTTTAAGAGAAAAAACTATTTTTGACAATTTATTAAAAATTTTGGGGAATAGTCATGGATGAAATAAAGTTTACTCTAAGCAGTTTTTTGGCAGATTTTCCGTTGAAAAAAGCTAAAACTAATGTTAGAGTCGATTTTATTTCGACTATGAAAATACCCCCTACTGAGTTTCGAAAGGTAAAATAATGATACGTCTTTACATACATGGTAAATATAAACGATTTGAATGACTTGAAGACACTTTTTTCGGCTGTGACACTTTTTTTGCGACTTTCGAAAAATTTTCAGCGGTAACACTGCTACAGCAAAATGCTAAGAAAAATATTTACGCAATTTGACAACCATGGCTGACCATGGTTTCTTCGGCAAATTTGTTTAGAATTACACGTAGAATTCTTCTATAATATACGCGCATCGTCTGAAAATTCTCTGATACAAACTGACCCGCCCTAATATACATACATATGTGCAAATATATAGATACAACTTATGCCTGTGGCCATACGCATATACATACGTACACATACAAATTTTTTTAGTCGATTACTCGCACAAAGGCAAAAATTCTAATTTCTACAAAGGGTGTAGATACCTCGGTGCTTCTGGGGCACTGGTGTGGCAGCTTAGAACACAAAAGACATTGCAGTGTTAGAAATAATTGCATTCGATAAGTGAGAAAAATGATATCAAAGCTATTCATAAAATAATTTTAGTGCAACAAAACCAACTTTAGAACATTGACACTGCGTAGCGAATATGTATGTATGTAGGCAAAGTAAAGCCAACCAACGCAGCCGTACTAACCTCCTTGCTGCTCTTCTTCTTCGTCATTCATGTATGTGGCCAAAGCCGCTAACGAGCCCAACCGTTTCTCGTTGCGCATGTACGCTGTGGTATAGGAGCCCACGCGGAAGTTGGGCTTCATTAATTGAGCCTCCCCGCCACTATCGTTCTGCTGCTGATGCTGATTTTCGTACTGCTGCTGCTGCGGCTGCCCCAATGAGTGTTGCGTGGCACCGCTGCTGCCGCCCATGGCGCCCTCGTTTGGCATTGTGCCACTACCGCGTTGCAGGCTCAATAGCGCGTTCGTTATCTCGCGAATTTGTTGAGCCGACATGGATTCACACGACTTCATGAGTAGCGTTTGGGCGAGGCGTGGCACCTCGGCGGTGTGCTCCGACCCGGAGTCAGGCGTTTTGTGGCCAGCAGAATGTGCATTTGGTGTAACTAGTCCAATATTCGCACCAATGGACATTTTCTTTTTGCGCGTTTTGCGCCGTTTCAATGAACCCTTACTATTGCACGCTTTTACTTGGGTAACATTGGTGGTGGACGAGGAGGAGGCGCGTTGGCGGCCGCCAGGCGATAGAGAGTCCAGCGCCGACTCACTAATCGAGTGAGTGGCGAGGCCGGTCTGTACGTTGCTTACTGTCGCCACAGCTGTCGCCGTTTGCACTGTCTCGGTGGTCAGTTGCGACAAACACGACACCGACCACGGTCGCTCCGATTTGCGGCGTGTCTGTGCCCGCTTAACAATCTTTACGTTCAAGCTCTGATTACTGCTTCCGTAGCCCAGTACAGTCGTTGGACTGAGTATAGGTTCTGTAGAACCTCCGAAGCATTCAGTGGAATTGCCACCATAGGAGTTTGTGCTCGTCTGCATGCAAGTAGCTATGGAGTCAGTGAGCCCCTCGGATGTATCCGAGCCAGGTTGCGGAACGGAGTCTGTCTCCGATGCTTCTCCCGAAGCTTCACAGTCATCGCCTGCTTTTGCATTTGTGCTGCTATGCAACTCATCTGTGGCATTTCTGTGCAATTGGGTAGGCGTTGATGGTTGGTGCTCCAGCCATTCCTTGTGAAAAGAAAATCGCGTGATTAAATAGAGAAATTGCGAAATATTTGCGGCACCACTTACTTGGACACGTTGTTTGATCGGGCCTGGCATGATCACCTCTCGTTTTTTCACCGTTGACGATAATTTGATGACGGAATGCTTCTGTTTCTGCTTGCTCGGCGTCTTTAACGCTTCGGCGTCACGTACTAAATGCTCTGCCTCAAG